TATTGAAACATCCCAAATACCAAATTGACACCCATGATCCTAAAAAGTACCCTAAAAATTATAAAAAAATTCATGCATAAAAAAATATTTAAAAAAACACGCTTCTGGATGAACCATAAAAATAATTTTAACAAAATTCACGTCTATCCCAAAATATAATATTGAAAAATTCGCGCCTAAAAAAATATTTTTAATAAATCCACGACCTTAAAAAATAAATTAAAAAAAAATCATCGCCTATGAATGGGTCATATAAAACTTATTGAAAAAAAATAACATAAAAAATTAATTTAAAAAAATCGCCTATGAATGAATGGGTCATAAATTTTTTTTTGGAAAAACCTAAAAAAATATTTGAAAAAAAAATCGCTTTAAAAAAATATTTAAAAAACATAAAAAATTAATTTAAAATCAACGAGGGGAACAGTATAATCGGACTCGGCCGACCATATGATACCATACACAACTTCCACGAATATCAAACTTTGTGTCGTTCACCATGGGTTGTGTTGTTATGTTCGGCTTTCAATTGTGGCCTAAAGATCGACTCGAAAAAACACATCAAATTAAGTTTTCGATCCACTTTATCCCAATATTATTATCTGATCATGACCGAAAATTGTAGGCGTTGTCCTTGACCATACCTATATCTTCGTGGAAAATTCCAAAGCGATCAGCGCTATATTTTCACCCTTTAGTGTGGTAATGGTTTATTAAATAATATCTGAATTCGTAAACACCTGTAAATATTTACGTGTAACTCCTACATCCGAGTACATTCGGCAATATAATTGGTATCAATTTAAAGGTCAACCACTCCTCTTGGATATACATTTAACTTCTCGGCTCTAAGTCCATCAGGAGTAAATATATACGCTACAGAATAACATTTTTGTCATTTTTCACACAAAAGTCAGGGTCCATTTGACCCGCTAAATATTGATCAATCCTTATCAAAACAGACATGCGTATTCTTTGGCCCAACCCCCTTCTCCATGTACAAATTCGGGATGTTTGGGCCATAATTGCGGCCTCTGGAGCGACCAGAAAAACCGACAAAAATCAAATATTTGGTCCATTTGGTCGCCAAAATATTAATCGATCTTTACCAAAAACTATAGGGGTCTTCATTGGCCAGAACGCATCCTACATACAAAAATATTCTCCTTCAAGTCGAACATAATGATCGAAGTTTTGCAATGAAAAGGTAAGCCAGGAGAAGAATGTGACTATGATGCCTCAAAAAATTATTTAAAAAATCCACGCCTTTGGGCCTTTTGTGATGCCTCAAAAAATTATTTAAAAAATCCACGCCTTTGGGCCTTTTGTGATGCCTCAAAAAATTATTTAAAAAATCCACGCCTTTGGGCCTTTTGTGATGCCTCAAAAAATTATTTAAAAAATCCACGCCTTTGGGCCTTGTGATGCCTCAAAAAATTATTTAAAAAATCCACGCCTTTGGGCCTTTTGTGATGCCTCAAAAAATTATTTAAAAAATCCACGCCTTTGGGCCTTTTGTGATGCCTCAAAAAATTATTTAAAAAATCCACGCCTTTGGGCCTTTTGTGATGCCTCAAAAAAAATTATTTAAAAAATCCACGCCTTTGGGCCTTTTGTGATGCCTCAAAAAATTATTTAAAAAATCCACGCCTTTGGGCCTTTTGTGATGCCTCAAAAAATTATTTAAAAAATCCACGCCTTTGGGCCTTTTGTGATGCCTCAAAAAATTATTTAAAAAATCCATGCCTTTGGGCCTTTTGTGATGCCTCAAAAAATTATTTAAAAAATCCACGCCTTTGGGCCTTTTGTGATGCCTCAAAAAATTTCTGAAATGGCTTTATTAATGCTCCAAAAAATATTTAAAAATCCACACCTTGGACCCTTATTGATGCTTCAAAAATTATTTAGAAAATCCACGCTTTTGGATCCGTATTGATACTCCAAAATATATTACAAAAATCCACGTCTTTGGGCCCAGAGACAGTCCTTTTCAGAGCAGATTTTTTGTTTTAGCGATGGGTTAATTAATCCACATACCTGTTATACAATTGCTTCAAGGAAAAATTTAATTTTAAAAATTCAGAGGGTAGAACAAATTTCGTATCGAAACATTTTAACAAAATAGGTCATAAAAATGTAAATGTACTTCGTAAAAAAGGAACATAACCAAACAAAGCGTTTAAAATTATTAAAAAGAGGCTAAACAAAATTCAATATAAAATTCGAATCGAAACATGAATGAAAAATAGGTCATATAAAACAACAACCACAAAAATGGAAAATCAAAAAAAAACTTTTGTTTGTAAACTAATGTTAATGTGTTTTCAATTTTTATTTTATTTTTTGTATTAGTTTAGTACAATTATTGTTATTATTAATTATTGAAAATTGTTTCACTTAATTTTGCAGCTAAAATATACGATTGCTGGTTTCTTTTGCATTTGTTTTTATTTCTTGTTTTTATTTCTTTCTTCTTAATATTTATATTAAAGCCAAAACATGTTATTAGAACTTATTTGATTACAATAAAAAAATTAAAAGAGAGCTAAGCTAAATATTAGTATATCATTATATATTTTTTTTTTTGTTTTTTTTTTTCTATTACATAATATAATTAATCAAAAAATACTTAAAATAATAAAAGGATTTTTTTAATTAATAAAGAAATACTTAAAGCCTGCGGGTTGGTTTTTATTTGAAATTAAAAAAAATACAAATAAAAAATAAATCAAATTATAATATAATATCATTTAACGATTGGATGGATATGATTGAACGTTGTATAAAAAGAAACGAACAAGCTAATTTTATTATTTTTTTTTTTATTTTTCTTATATTCTTATTTTAATATTTTGCATATAAACAATAACAATTGTGTGTTGGGGGTGTGTGTGGGGTGTGTTTTTCTTTTTCTACAGTAAATATTTGTTTTGTGAATCTTTCATCATTATTATAATTTTTTTTTGTAATTTTATTTTAATAATGTGTTGTGTTGTTCTTTTTTTAATAGTAGAGTTTTTTCTTCTTTTTATTTTTATTATAATACATAACAATGTATGTCACAAATCAGTCCAAATATTAGTTGTTTATTATGTTCTTTGTTTTGTTGTTGTTGTTATTTAATATGTATATAGTAGCTAGAATTATAGAAAATATATAGTCGTATCATAATTGGTTAACTTTTATTATTATTATTTTTTTCTTTTTTTTTTGGAAATTAAAACAAAAAAATCTAATAAAAAATATAAAACATTATATATCAACAACATACATGATGTTATGTTTTTTTTTTAATTTAAAAAAAAAATTAAAAAAAAAATGTTGTGGGGTAAAGGAATGACAACAAGGGACCATTGTTCCCCCATAATAATATTGTCTGCTTTAAAAAAAAAAAGAAACGAAAAAATATATTAATATTTGCATATTTCCCAGTCAATATACCAAAATAGGACAATTGCCAAAAAATGTTGCATACTTTCAGGCGTTCTGTTCAAATGCCCATATCCCCAAGGATTTTTTCACATTTTTCGTTGCAGAAACTGGAGAAGGATGACCAACTTTGTTAGCTCATAATCCGTAGAACACATCCTTTTCCATTTAATAAAAAAATGCAATTTGTTTTGTGTTAAAAAATTTAAATAAATGAAATTGATTGAATTGTGAAGTGAGAACATTTGAAGACTTGGTGGAAGGATTGGATTTTTTTCCGGAATAAAATGGAGAAATAGTGAGACTTGGATTTTTTAAGAATTTAACACAACCAAACCATTTGAAATTTTTATTTTAAGAATTGTTAAAAAAAAATTTTTTCCAAAAACAATCAAAATTATTGGCGAAAGGCTTGGATTTTTTATTAATATTTCTTTAAAGACTGTCAAAATCCAATGTTTGAAATAATTTAAAAATCCAATTTAAATGTTTTTTCAAATGTTTTTTTTTTCAAAAGTTTTTAAACATATTTTTGCAATTTTTATTAAAATTATATGGCAAATTTTTTAGAAGTATTTTTCTAGAAAGTAGACCAATATTAATGATTTGGAAGGTTTTCAATCCACTGAGAATTTAAAATAAAAACTTGCAACCTAGCTATATTTTGAAAAAAAAAAAAACATCGTAAAAAATCCAAAACTATAATTTGAAGTCTTTGTAAGTTGTGCCTTACAGATTATTTGGGATGGGTCTTAAAAATTTCAAAATATTTTTTTTAAACACTGTAAAAATCTTAGGCGTGGATTTATTTAGGAAGACTATAAATATTAAACGAATATTCTCAAAAAAAATCCAAGTCTGATTTTAAAAAAAATTGTCGTTAAAATATATTCTTAAAAAACGTATGCATTTGAAAAAATATTTGAAAAAAAAATTTCCAACATTTTGAAAAAATATTTAAAAAAAAATCCAACATTTTGAAAAAATGTTATTGAAAAGTCTAGTTTTTAAGAATTTCTTAGATTTTGTTGGAAAAAATCGTAAAAACTTCAGGACTACGATTTGAAATCTTTGTAGGTTTTAAAAATGCCTTACGTATATTTTTTCCTAACCAAAATCCGAAAGGGAATCTGAATTTCATTTTCAATTATTTATTTGCTTCACGAAGTAAAACCCTTTTTGTAGGCTGTTGGCAGAGTTGTTGTTAAAAGAATTATTAAAAAAAACACAATTGTTGCATACTTTAAGGTGTCATTTATATATGTATGTGTGTGAGTGTGTGTGTGTATGGGATGAGTGTATTCACAAGAGTTCCATTGTATTTTTCTTCTTCTTCCTTCTATCTTTCAATAAACTTAAATTACCTGCTCTTTATTACAATTGCATTTTATCAGGCCTTTGCTACTATTACTTGTTGTTATTGTATGGTTGCTGTTACTGTTGTTGTTGCTATTGGTATTATAATTATTAATATTATTATTGTTGCTGCTGCTGTTACTGTTGTTGTTGTTCAAATTATTGCTCTTATATTTAAGTTTTCCTCCTCCGGTCGTTGCTGTCATCAGTATACCTCACATACGCATACCACTACTATGGGCACTATGGCCGGAACTTTGCAAACTCTCATTGGACCATGACGCCTGCGGCGATGATGTTACTGGGCCGCCCGGTGAACCCGATGAGCCAGCCGATGATTTGGGTGGTGAGGTGGACGAGGAAGCGGAGGCGGATTGTAGATTATAACGGGCATAGAATAGTAAATAGGGTGTTATGGTTATCTTCCTTGCAGGCGATAATAGCTCTTCGAATTCTCGCTGGGTCATTGCTTTGATTTTGTCATCATCACACATATACCAGATAGGTTCGGCGGCGCTGCCGTTGTGTATTTGCTGCTGTGAGGCATATGATGCCTTGGTGCCGGCACGTCCTGTGCTACCATAACCCGATGAATTATTGCTACTACCACTGTTGTTGTAGGCAGGCTGGTGGTGATGCATATTATTATTATAACTGGATGAATAACCACCAACACCTCCATTCGTATAGCCACCACTCGAAGAAGAATCCTCATTGAAATCACTGACGAGGTTATTCTGATTGGCGGCATGATGAACATAGTGCATTTGCTGTTGCGCCGTCAGACGCATGGCACAACAATTTATGCTGGGACACGTGGTTGTACACGAGGAGGAGGCCGATGCGGATGATGTTGTTGCCGCTACTCCCGATGTTCCGCCGGCGGAATTTGTATTATTCATACTTAACTTACCAATGCCATTTGTAATGGCTTTACTGCCACCACCACCCCCGCTGGATGTCAGACCATTCAGATGCTTGACATGTTTGCTCATGTCACCACTGCTGGAGGCTTTATTACGTCCGAATTTCATCATTTTCATAAAACTTGTGGTACTCGAAGACAATGATGAATTCGCCGTCGAGGAGCCCGCATTATTGGCATTCGTTGTGGATGACTGGCCACCACCGGCCATCCCCTGTTGCAGGGGGTTTGAGGATGACGATGATGTAGTTCCGCCACTGCCACCATTCATAGCAGCCGCCGCTGCTGCAGCTCTCTCTTGACTAGCTCTTCGCCTCTGCTCCTTGGGGCAGTTGATATATTCATTGGCCCAATCCAATGAACAGGTATAGGCAATATAATGGCCCACCGACATTGTGGCGCCCACATGGGTTATAACACTGTACAGCTTGTAGATGTGCAATTTATTGGCATCGCTCAGTTCACAGCATTTCGAACAGAAACATTGCAGCGTAAACGATGTGGGAATGTAACTGTTGATTTTTTCCATGCCGCCCGAGAAGCGGCTCAACTGGATAATTAATAGACGTGGTAATACCTCATAGGATATTGAACGTATAGCTTCGGTGTAGCCACAACATTGTTCACAACGATATTTATTTTCATTGCGGAAACGTTCACTGGTTATGCAGGAGTTCTGGAAAAAAGAAACAAAAAAGGAATTAGAATCGGTTGAAAAATGGGCTCAAATTACCAAAAAATAACGAAATTTGAGGGGTACGGTTATACCCAAACATAGACCGATATTGAATATTTTTGTTAGGAAGATTTGTTACCTTTATAAGAACCCAAAATAACAATTTATAGCTAATTCGTTTGAAAAATTTGCCCATGCTCCCCAAAATAACGAAATTTTGGGAGGTTCGTCATATGGAGGCTACCCTAAAAAGTTGACCAATATTGATATTTTTTGATACGGAGATATACTACCCAAAGATAAACCAAAATACCAAATTACAGTCAAATCGGTTAGAAAATGTGACCAAAATCCCCTTAACACCGAATATTGGAGGATATCGTTATATGGGGTCTAAGCGAAAACGTGAACCGATATTGACAATTTTTAGTAGGAAGATATTCAGCACAATGAAAATCCAGAATACCAAATTACGGCCAAATCGATTGGAAAACGTGCCCAAGCTCCCCAAAATATATATATTTGGAACCAATCGTCGTATGGGCACTAACCTAAGAAGTTGACGAATATTTGTAATTTTTGGTACGGAGATATAATACCCTAAGATAAACCAAAATACCAAATTACAGCCAAATCGGTTAGAAAAGGTGGCCAAAATCCCCATAATATCGAATATTGGAGGGTACCTTTATATGGAGGCCAGACGAAAACGTGGACCAATATTGATCATTTTTAATAGGAAGATATTCAGCCCAATGAGATTCAATAATACCAAATTACAGCAAAATTGGTTAAAAAACAAGCCCAAAATACCGAAATTCGGGAGCTATCGACGTTTGGAGACTAACCTAAAAAGTTGACAAATATTGATATATGCTGGGAGATTTGCTATTCATTGACTATTAATCAAAATTCTAAATTACAGCGAAATCGATTGGAAAAACGTATCCAAACTCCACAAAATTCTAAAATTTATGAGGTACGGTATCAAAACGTGCACCTATATATTAAATTTTGCAATATCAAACCTCCTAGTTGTTGTAGCATTGTGTATACGCAAATTTTCCAAGCCATGGAATCACAACAAACCTGTATAAACGAACTCGGTCTATCCGTATTATATTCGTTGCTCTCGTAACCCGCTTGCGGTACAGGTACAGCAATATCAATCATGGTTTCTTTTTGTTCCGTTATTGTTTCACAGCTAAGACATTTGGTGGTGGACACAGTGATGCCCTCGAAATCATCATTAAAGAAATCCAAACCCAATTCACGGATTTTATTCTCCAAACGTTGTTTGTCCTTGAGCAGAAGGGACACAGCCGTTGTGGAGGCGGTCGACGAACCATCTAATTCATCCGCCGGACCACCACCAATGGTTGAGGTGGAATTTGATGGTGACGTTAGAACCCCGCCGCCGCCGCCCATCGCTGACGATGATGATGAGGCGGCTGAGGGTGGTGGTGATGTAGATGCTCCACCACCACCTGCCGTTGAATTGAGATCATTCGTATTCAAATAGAAGAGACTATTCGATTGTGGCGTATTTATATTGCCAGCTATTTGGTTATCTTTAAGCGGAGATTGGAGGCGGGAGTTTTTGGAATTTTTTGTTTCATCTTTTCGCTTGGATTTGCGTGAGAAGAACAGCGATGACTTGGAATTGGATGTTAGCGAGCTAAGCGCGGAGGTGACGGAGATGTGGTTGCTGCTGCTGTTGTTCAGGCCACTGCTGCCGCTCTGATTGCTGCCGGTGTTGTTGCCCGCCGCCGCCGACAAATTGGAGTGTTTCATAATATCACGTTCAGTATCCTCGGGATTGGAAATATATCTGCAATGTGGAAGGAAGGAAAGGAGAATTATTAGGAGGGAGAGAAAGAAATAATTAGGCTCTGATTGATGGCTTTCCAAACCTACCCATTTAATATCACATCTGGACACTCGGCTATGGCCTTGATTAGAGTTTGATTTGTCTCACGAATGCTGTTCAGCAGACACATAAGAAATTCATGGGCATCCTGTTGTTGATTACCCTCAAATATGCTGCTTACATCTTGGATGGCATGCAGCAGGGTATCGGCATGATAGGGCTCCGTGGATTCACTCATTTCATTGCGATAGAGGCTTTGATATAGCTCGTGTAGCTTCTCGGTTAAGATCTGGTGGCTGCTTTTCTGGGTGACTTGTGTTAGGGCCGACGATGATGCCGAGGAGGGTGTGGTTGCCCCACCTCCGCTTGTTACATTATTAACGCCCGCATACTGTTCCATTGAGGCCAAATCTTTGCTACTCCAACTGCGGGCATTTTCAATGTGCACAGCACTAATGCCACGACCCAGGGAAGACGATTTGGAACGCGCCCGGGCTATATTCTGTTGCAGGGCATTCAAATCCGTTAACAAATGATGCAGATTGTGCAGAAATTGTGGAGCAAAACGCAGCGTATAGACCACCGAATTAAGGTAGCAGGTATTGCCGATGTTGCACAGAGTTCCCATGGTGGGGGCATGATTTATGGCAATGCCGCCGACACCGCTGCCACCATTACCCAGTAAGGCGGCTGCCGCCACCGCTGATGAATTGGAATTGCCAGCAATGCCGCCGGAACCAGCGGTTCCGGTTAGATAATATGGATTGGTCATGTCTTGACTATCATTGGAATCGCTCATAATCATGGGCATTCCGCCGCCGCCGGATGAACTTGAACGGCTTGTTGACATGTAGCCATTACTAACAAGACTGGAACCACCACCACTGCCTCGGCCATCGTTGGCCGTTTGATAGGGACGCTCGTAAAGGGACATTATACGTGGCCGTTTTTTTGAGTTCGTAATTCCCTGTTCAATGGGTAGGGGTTTTAGAAAATCACCACCACCACCGGCTACAATGTTCGGTTGTTGTTGTTGGCGTTTTTGTCCCACTGAAGTGACACCAACACCCCCACCACCAGCAATGCCAATAGCAGTGGATGTTGCACGAACGCCACTTGTTGCTGCACTGGCCGCTGCCGCTGCAGCTGCTGCTGCCGCAACAATAACCGCTGCCTGGGCTGTGGCTGTGACACGCCGCGACCTTAAAGTTGTCGGTACACTAAATCCTAGTAGGGCAGCTGTTTGGCTACGTTTACGTTTGCTGGCAGGTTTCTTAACTTCGTTATCGCTCAAGGTCTCAATACGATTCAATGTTGCCGCATCGAGACGGGGGAAAACTGTAAAGAGAGAGAGAACATAGAAAGAAAAATGAAGACATTGGAGGAAATCAATGAAAAAAAACAATAATTTGATTAATGAATGAGTGACTCATCCACACATATATGTGCAGCAATATACAAATAGGTATGTGTGGGGTGGAGGTGGCGGGATAGGAGCGGAATTGTGTATGTGGAGGTGTGTGGAGTGTTTCTTTTGGTTTGGAAAATAATGAGACAGTTTCACATGTTATTATATAGTGAGGAAAACACACATATTATGGAAATGTGAACGCCTTTGACCTCCAAGTGTTATATGGGGACTATCCCGAAAATAGAGTAAATATTGATCATTTTTAAAAAGGAAAATTTTCGAACGAATGATAATATAAATTACCCGAAGATAGAGCAATATTGAAAATTTACTACCCAATCAGAATCCATAATACCCTTTATTGCAAATTCCCGTAAAAAACCGAATATTGGAGCGTACCGTTATATGGGAGCTATGCGAAAACGTGGACCGATATCGATAATTTTTGGTATGGAGATTTATTAGCCAATGAGAACCCTACATATATTATTACAACCAATTCTGTCGAAAAACGTGTCTGAAATCCTCAAAAATATCAAAAATTTTGGTTAACGCTATATAGGGGCTAACACGAAACTTTGTCCAATATTGATAAATATTTTGTAGGAAGATTTGCTATTCAATGACTATCCGCAATATTAAATTACAAATTTGAAAAATATGCCCAAAATCCACAAAATTCTGAAATGTGCGTGATATGGCTATATGGGGATCTATACCAAAACATGGACCGATATACATAATTTTTGGTAGGATGATTTGACACTTAATGAGATCCCAAAATAACAAATTACAGCTAGTTCGTTTGGCAAACGTGCCCAAGCTCCCCAAAATAAAGAAATTTGGGTAATATCGTAATATGGCGGATACCCTATAAAATGGAGCAATATTGATAATTTTTCGCACGAAGATATACCATCCAAAGAGAACCCAAAATACAAAATTACACACAAATCAGTTGAAAAAGGTGTTCAAACTCCACAAAATTCCGAAATGTGCGCGGTATGGCTATATGGGGTCTACACCTAAAACATGGACCGATATCAATAATTTTTGGTAGGAAGATTTGACACCCGATGAGAACCCAAAATAAAAAAATTACAGCCAATTCGTTTGGAAAATGTGTCCAAGCCCCCCACAATAACGAAATTTTGGGTGATATCGTTATATGGGCAATACCTTAAAAAGTGGACCAATTTTGATAATTTTTCGTACGGAGATATACTACCCAAAGAGAAACCAAAATACAAAATTATAGGCAAATCGGTAAAGAAAGGTGCCATAAATATAGAATAATAGGGGTAGCGTTATATGGGGACTATACCAAGACATGGCTCGATGTCGATTATTTTTGGCAAGGAGGTTTGGTATCCAATGATAACCCAAAATATAAAATTACAGCCAAATCGGTTGATGAACGTGCTCAAAAAAATCGGAATTACCGCTATATGGGGGCTAACCTAAAAAGTGCATCGATATCGATAATTTTCTGTAGAAAAATGTTTAACCCAATGAGAATCCAAAACACCAAATTACAACCAAATTGGTGGAGAAAAGTGACCAAACTCACCAAAGTAACGAAATTTGGGAGCTGTAGCCGTATTTGGGCTACTCCCAAGGTTGTTTCAATACCGATCATTTTTTGTAGGACAATTTTTCGAACCAGTGAGAACCCAAAATATTAAATTACACCAAATTCTATTAAAAAATCTTTTCTGCGAAATAAGGAAATTTGGGAGGTACCCTTACATGAGGGCTATCCTAAAAAGTTGATCTATATCTATATAGGTAGGAATATTTATGGTAGGAATATTTACTATCCAATGAGAACTCAAAATACCAAATTATAGTCAATTCGTTCCAAATTGTACCCAAAAAAAATTAATTAGGCACCCTGCCTATATATGGGGGGCTAATCGGAAACTTGGTCCAATATTGATCATTTTTGGTAGAGAGATTTACAACTCAATGAGAAACTAAAATTACAGCCAGTTCGGTTGAAAATAGTGCCCAAATCTCTCACAAATATGGAATGTTGGGAGGTAACTTTATATGACGGCTAGCCTAAAAAGTTGACCAATATTGATATTTTTGATGGGAAGATTTGAAACCCAATGACGGACAACCCATAATATAAAATATATATGGTGTTCTAAATAAATTGATAAAAAATTCGCACCTATTATTGGGTCCTCTGGATATATTTCGAAAAATCCCCATCTATTATATTGACCTGAAAAAAAATTTAAAAATATACCCAGCTATTGTAGGGTCCTCTGAAAATAATCAAAAAAAATCCCGCCTATCATAGGGTTCTCAGAAATAAAATTTTTAAAAATCCACAGCCCAACTAAAGTTTTCAAGAAATTATTTAAAAAAAAATAAAAATTTTAAAGTTATGACGTAATGAGCACACACATAATGTTTGAATTATTTTTTGATGACAATATGAGACCAAGAAAACCATGCACCACAGCTTTTGAATGACAGCAATTTTTCAATTTTGTTGTTGGCTGTTAGTTAGTTTTTGCAACATTTTCAGACTTTTATTTGTTAGTAACAACAATAACAAAAAAAGGACATGTGAAAATTGTCATGTGTATGTATTGATTGATTGATGATCAGGACATCACAGTTAGAATGGACATACCTTCGGTAGATATATTTTTGGTTTTCAAAATTTATTAATATTTTAAACCAATAGCTGTGTTCGATTCAAATTCCAGGCAAACTTTTTTGTCATAGGAAAGAAGTGGTGCTTGGTGGCGTGTAATATTCTAACTGAAATCAATGGAAAAAAAATTGTTTTGAGAATTAAAAAAACAACAACAAAATCCAAATGAATGTTAGTTAAGGCAAAAATGGGGTTTTAATGAAAATAATATTTAAAAAAATCCCCACCTATTATATCAACCTCACATTATACCAACCTCAAAAAATATTTTTCAATATCCCCCCTAGTATACGGTTCTAAAAAATGTTTTTCAAAAATCCAAAAATATTTTTTTTACATCCCACCCGTTATATCGATGTAACAGGCCCCACGTTGGGCGCCAATAAAGAAGACCTCTCGTTGGAATTCAATGATGCAGGTCTCACGTTGGGCGTTAATAAAGAAAGCTCCTTGGGTTTCTACATAGGGGGAAAGGGCAAAATATGAGATTCGTAAGGAAATTCGAAAGAATCTATCCGCACGCTTTCCATCGTGAACTCCAGATTGACAGGATCTCTCCCTCCCCAATTCTACTGCTCGTATAAAAGTAGTGGAATTGGCGAAGCCCACTGTCTCTGACAAAGGTGCTAAGCCGACTTCTGATCGGAAGCCTAGCTCGAAGCCTAACCCTAGTCAAAAGTCTAAGGAAAAGGCTACTGATAACATCCCTAAACAAAATGTCACCCATTAGGGGTGAACAACATGTGGAGGGCTCTGTCTCAAAGCCCAATTCTACGCCTAGCGACAAAGGTGCAGCTAAAGCTTTGGGTGGATCCACCAGTGGTCGGAATAGGAAGAAGGGAAAGTCCAGCAAGAAACCATCTTTTCCTGGGAGAGCAAATGCCGCCCACAGAAAAAATCTGTGAAGCGCATCCGCTATTCAGAAGGTCCACAACCTTCACACATGAAGACGATAACTTCGCGTCTGGCTGATCCATCTACCGCATATGCGGCTGTCGCTGGAAAACAAAAGGGCGGAGAATAAGCCTAGTACAGAAAAGGCATCGACCTCTTCTGGAAAGGTAAACTCCAAAGTTCGTAGTCAGAGACAGCGGAAGCCATATGACAGACCGACCAAGGTAGCTGCTGACGAAGGCCTTCAAGTGGCAATCATTGACAAATCGGATCCTCATGGCAGCATTAAGTGTCAGGTCGCCGCACTTAGCACCCTAAGGCTGCATGAACAAAACCTCTGGCGAAGTTGAACCTTTGGGCATGGTCGTATCTTGAACGAGCTAGATATGACGATGGACCAACGCGTAAAGCTAAGCGACTATATATTTTCCCAGTCCTGAGATTTGAAGTAACGAAGTAACCCTCCTCTGGACGGTCTGGTCTTCTATACAGACGGATCCAATATGGAAGAAGATACAGGGGCTGGTGTCTACTGGGAAAGGCTAGGCTTTGAGTTAACCTAACCTACCTAGATTGCTCGCTTCGATTTGGAAGGCAGCGGAATTGATAAAAAGTCTGGCATCCACTATGGATTGAGCAATCGATTGCTAGATCTGTGGATTGAGATCCTCGTCTAGGCTAGGCTTTGAGTTAATCTACAAGCTGAATTGCAACTGTAGTGTTTTCCAACCTGAACTCTTTGCGATTTGGAAGGCAGCGGAATTGATAAAATGTCTGGATGCAGAACCGGTCGTTGAACCGTTGACTATCTTCGTGAATAGGCAAGCGGCTCTTAAAGCCATAAAATCTTGTTATATCAAATCTGAAGCCGTCCTGTAGAGCAGCTTTGGAAGAATTTACTTACAGCTATCGGCTGTGTTTTGTACCAGGACATTGTGCCAGCTTGGGTAATGAAAAAAGAGACGAACCAGCTAGACGAGGATCTCAATCCACAAATCTAGCAATTGATGACTCAATCAAACCACCCATATGTCATCTTTACCGGAACTTTGAGGCGTTCTTCGACGAAAGAGCGTATGGGCTTTGGCACAACGAACCTAGGTGCAACGTGTCAAGATCCATTTGGCCGACTCTGTCTACCAAAAGGACGCACTCACTGTTGTACCTGAGCAAAGCTGAAATAAGAGTAATGACAGGAATCATTACTGGTCACTGCAATATCAGGGCCTTTACTAGCAAATGAGATCTTGATGCAATTGATTAATGTAGACTCTGAGTTGACGAGCAGGAGACGGAGAAAATTGAGCATCTCCTGTGTCACTGCCCAGCCCTGGCTTATAGGGGGCACAGACTAGTGGGTGGTCATTTTCTACCGAGTCTTAGCTTCATCTCAACAACCCAACCTGCTCTAATCCACAGCATAATTTATTATATCCTTCTATAAGCTCCTCATCTCCCTTTATTTCCCAAATCTTCTCTCCCCTACAGATCTGTCCTTATCTCTTCTCTTCTCGTGGATGATCACAACGGACCTAATCGGTCTCAGAGTGCTACAGCCACATAAGTGACTGCACATCCCCAAACCTAACCTAACCTTCCCGTCCAGTTCCATCAGTATATTATTAATTACCAATAGCCATAGCAACGGCGAGAGCACCCCTCCCTGAGGTGTGCGTGCCTCTAGTTACCGTTTTCCTGATTTTTGTATCCCCCACACTTGATTTTTTAATTATGCTGTTTAGCATTTTATGGATTCAAGTTTAACGTCGTTAAAGGACTCTCTCTATATCTAGGAAGGCGGCCAGCGTAAAGTTGAATTTTCCATATTCCTCTCAATGTATCCTACCACCTTGTGCAGTGTAGATTCTACAGACTTGTCCTTTATGTATGCGTGTTGTGAATTGCTAAGAGAGGTGGTGTGTCTATACGACTCCTAATCTCCAAGTCGATCAGTCTTTCGAGAGTCCCCCCCTTAAAAATATATATTTTTTAGATCAATTTATATGGCCCTGAATATGTTGATGTGGGAACGTAATTTGTATGTACGTGTGTGTGTGTTTGTTTTTCAGTATGTGTCAAACGCAGAAATCGCTCGGCATTACCTCTTTTCCTTAATGGGTCTTCCGTATCCTGTTTATTACCACCACCGCCAGCAACTTCTGGCGATTGTTGATTCTTGGCAATATCCCGTTGGTGTACCAGAGATTTTTCTAAACTTGTCTCTAAAGTTTTGTGATTTTTTTGTGTCTGTTGTTGTTGGTGTTGTTCCTGCTGTGTTTTCTGTGTGTGATCGTTGGCAGGAGCAGGAGTTGGTGGAGGAGCTTTTCTTGTCCTTAGACTATCTAAACGGGCTTTAACCTCGTGTGGTTGATGGAATTTGCGTCGTTGACGACGTTTACGTTGTTGTTGTTGGTCTGGCAAGGAAAGCGATTTGTCTTCTGTGCCGCCTGCTGATGTTTCTTGTTTCACTGATGTGTCATCACCACCAGCAGCAGCTGTTGCTGTTGTCGTTTTTGTAACAATTGTTGCCAAAGGATTAGTTTTTGTTGTGGTTGTTGTTGCATTAGTTGTGGAATGTTTTGTTGTTGCTGTTGCAAGTGTTTTGGCCTCGCCACCACTTGTTTTATTGAAATCGCCCGAACCGAAACTTTGGGTTTCTGAGATATCAGTTTCAATAACAATGGGATACAGGGTTGATAAACGGTATTGGTGCTGTTTTTGTTGTTGTTGGCTGGTTGAGGCAGCTGTTGTTGTTGTAATTGATGAAATTGTTGTCGCTGTATCTTCCTTTTCGTCGTCTTCTTCTTTTGCTGTATTACGACATAAATCTATGTTGGAAGTTTTTTCCTTAACAGTTCCAAGACTAACGTCGTCGTCTTCGTGGTCGTTCTTGTTGTTGTCTACTCCCTCTTCTTCTTCTTCTTTTGAAGAACTTTTGGAATCTCTTCTTGTTCTTTGATTATTTTGAAAATAGTTTAATATTGTGTTTTGTTGTTGTGATTTTTGTTTTTCTTCTTTGACACTTTTTTGATCCTCCGCAATCCAAATGTTAAGGTTTGACTGATTTGATGACAGTCTGGTGGTTGTTGCCGATGCGGAGGAGGAGAAGCTGTTGCTGCCGGTAAGAGCAGTTGGAGAAGATGTCGACGTTGACACGACTTCGAAGTCTTGTGAATTAATTGTGAATTTACACCTTTCGCTTGTTGTTAGTGGTGGAGGTGTTTTTGTTGTTGCTGTGGAATTAGCATCACAATTGTCATTATCATCATCACCATAACTGGTATTAATGGCTTCTGTTACCAATCTGCTACTAGCATTTCCAGATGCTTTTCGCTTTGCTGCTGCTGTTGTTGCTGCTTGTGTTCTACGTCGTCGTCGCGATTCCTTTTGCTTTGGATTGTGATTATTTGTATCGACGCCGCCGCCACCACTGCTAATGTTTAGATTCTTTTTCTTTTTAGTCTTTTTGTTGTTGTTGTTCTTAAGATTTCTTTTCTTGTTATTGTTATTAACGGTTGTTGTTGTTGCTGTTGTTAAAAACTTTACTGATATTGGAAGACAATTTGTTGTATTTTTATTCGCTTTCTTTGCAGCATTTCTGGGCATTTTTTGTAAACCTGAAAGTGAAGGGAGATGGAGAGAGAGAGGTGAGTGGGTTATTAAAATAATTTTGAAACTAAAGTGTGAAAATAAAATGCAAATAAAACAAATAAATGGCAATAGCGAAAACAAATATTCCAACTAGATTCGGAAACTGGCATGTGATTAAATTCAATCTGGCCAAAGGGATGTTACACAACAATGAGGAAACTAGACGGGTCATAGATTCATATTTTAAAAAGCAAAGCGAAAAAATTGGCTTGGATTAAAAAAAAAAAACGTTTGTAGTCGGAGATAGCTGGAGATTTTTTAAACATATTTTTAAGGTCCCTAAAATAAACGGGAATTAAAAAAAATTAACAACAAAAAAGGGGTGGAGGTCAGAATAGCAATCAATAAGCTGAAGAATTTAAGACTGGTGGTCAGGTGCTGGTAAGAAACATGCACCAGCTGATTAATACAATTTGACTAGATGACTGCATGTCCAATGATTGGAACCTCAGCATCCTGTGTCCCGTGCAAGAAAAAGGAGTCAATGTGCGAATTATTGAGGAATAAGTCTCCTTTCCATCGCATATAAAGTGCTATCCAGTGTGCTGTGTAAACGACTGAATCCAATGGTCAATGACATTATTGGACCATACCAATGTGGCTTCACACCTGGAAAATCCAACATTGACCAGATTTTCACTCTGCGCCAAATCCTGGAAAAAACCCACGAAAAACACAAGCCATTCCTGCAAAATTAATACGACTATGCAGGATAACATTAAGTGGCACAAGATCAGCAGTTAAAGTCGGAAAGAACCTATCGGAGCCCTTCAATGCCGAACGAGGATTCAGACAAGGTGACAGTTTGTCGTGTGACCTGTTTAATATCCTGCCGGAAAAGGTCATACAAGACGCAAATGTGAACAGAAATGACACTCTGTACATAAAACAGCATATGTTACTCGCCTACGCCGATGACATCGATATAATGGGTCGAACTTTGCGAGCGGCAACAGCCACCTTTGAACAAATTGAAAAGGAGTTTGCCAAAGTGGGTCTGGCAGTAAACGGCGAGAATACCAAACTGATGGTATCAACGCGCAAGACGTCCAGTAGTCTCGAACCAACTGTGGAACTTGAGAACTACAGCTTCTGGTGGTCCTCCCGCCAGACCAAACTCACACTTTACAAGACGCTGATACTACCCGTGCTGTTATATGGATCTGAAGCATGGGTACTTGCGCAAGCAGATGATGCTGCTTTCTGGAAATTTCTGAAAAATATTTTTTTTAAGTCGATATAATAAATGGGGTTTTTAAAAAAATATTTTTGAAGAACCTATAATAATTAAAAATATTTTTGAGGGACCTATATACTATACCTAGCGAATCCCCCAAAAATATTTTTTTTTTTTCAAAAATTACCCCACATTCGATAGCCTTTACAAGTCGTCCGCTCATGCTACAACTATTTGCGATAAGGCCAGGAGCTGGAACAAGGTTCTCAAGTCACTAGCTGGCAGTACTTGGGGAGCTGATAAAGAAACCTTGTTGACAACCTACAAAGCAATAGGCCGGTCTGTGGTAAACTATGTGGCTCCAGTTTGGTCCGCCAACGTAAGTGCTACACAATGGAAAAATATTCAATCCTGCCAAAATGCCGCCCTGAGGAACAGCGTGTCTCCTCATGACTCCGATGATAGACCACTTAGATAAGGAGACGAAGATCCTTCCTGTGCGCCATCACAACAGGATGTTGTCGATGCAATATCTGCTTGGGTGCTGCAGAAACAGCCATCCTAACCACCACCAAATGGATAGGCTCCCACCGACCAGGCATGTCAGGAAGGATCTTCATGATCTAGAGAGAGAGGTCCAGAGGTATAAAAGAGATCCTCTAGATAAGGTTGAATCGTATTCACTCGGCTGCAGTTGAGGAAGCAATTCAAGAATACAGAGTGAATACAACCCTCGGGGTTCAAGCGCAGCAGAAGAGCAGCAACTACCGCGACAAACAAGAGTGGTGCTGGCACAACTGAGATCAGGATGGTGTAGTCGTCTAGAATTTTTAAGCGAGTTAAGGAGTGCTCAAAAATATTTTTAAAACCCAATTCATAAAAATTTAAATAATTTTTGAATCCGCAATGTATTTTTAAAAAAATCTCCACACCTGTTATAGGTATATCATTTTTAAAATCTGCAATCCTCATTATAGTGTTCCCTCTGTCTTTATTCCCAAACGACCATCCGATTGTTTATCAAAAAAAAAATGATAAACAAAAATCAAAAGAATTATTGGTATTATACAATATATGTATATGTTTGTACATACAAATATAATAACATTAAAAAATTAGCAGCGATAATAAATACTACAACAATAACAACAACCCAATATTAGTCATTGGCAAATAACAGTTATAAAACAAATATTGTATAGTCTTATTTGAATGGCAAGTAAGTAAATAATTGATTTAAAAAAAAAGATTGTATTATAGCCATAGATATTTGTATATATGTACATATGTTGACTTTCAAATAATTTAAATTAAATTGATTCTAGATATTTGGAAACGATAGAGGGAAGTGAAGATAATAAAAAAAAAAATATCTGATGCAAATTTGGTTTTTTAAAAAAGTTTTTTTATGTTGATATAATCAGGAGTGAATTTTTTTAAAAATATTTGTTGAAATGGAATTTTTTAGAAATATACCCTAGGAGTGGTAGCAATCTATGTGTAACATTTCGAAGCTTTATCTCCTTAGTGATTTTAATAGATCGTCCGGGCATGGCTTAAATCGACATCAAAAATTTTTTCTGATCATGAAAAAAATATGCACCTCTAATTTGAGAACCCCATAGTTCATCAAATTATTCAACGAATCTAAATTAAATGCATTATGTTGTCAAAAACTAAATTACATTGACATTATCATAACAATAGCTGTCAATCACTCTTCCATTGTATTTTTCGATCAATATTTTATCGATTTTCACTGTGATTTAATTGATGATATCGACGGTCATACAAGCCAATGTCTCCTAATTTCATTGCACATTTTGCTGACTGCCCTTCAAGTGGGAGAAAAAATAAATAAATTAAAATAAAAAAACAACAATGACAATAAACGTCTAGTTACCTAGAGAGAGAGAGAGGGAGAGGTAGACTTGCAATGCCACCAATCATTAGCAAATTCTACACACACACATCAATTTGTCACCCAACATAAACTGCCCTGCAAATAATTGTGGACTACGTGATCCATTTCAGCAGCTGCGGACTGGTTACAACATTGTCCTATGTAATGCAGCTATGGACCATGTCATTGTCAATCAAGAATGTTTTGGTTAAGAAATGTAACGGCAAATGATCGTTTTTTATCGTTTGCTCATTAATTTGTTGTTTTTGCAAGCGCTAGTTTTTTTTGCAGACACGTGTTTATCGTTTTTTTTTGGCACAAATTTGACATTGATTTTAGTTTGTTTCTGGAAGCGTTGTGCGTCGGTTGCATCGTTGTGCGTGGTGATAAATTGCAAACAAAAGATTGTGTAAACAAAAGTAAAAGATTTGAAGGTAAAAAGAATAACTTATAAAAAAATGGAATGTAGTTCGCGTCATAAAAGACGGCTTTTAAAAGCTGAAAAAGAAGATTTTGTCAAAAGACTATTTAGTTCAAGTGTTGAGTGTGAACAAATTGAAGTAGAAAAAAATGCCGAAGCAGATTCAGATTCAATAGTTGAAATAGAAGGGACAGAAAATGATTATTACAATGCAAATGAAGAATTTGACAAAAGAAACAACTTTATAAGTGCTTTAGGGCAATGGCAGTTAAAAAGCCGGACATCCAACCAGAACATGAGAGAACTGCTAATAATTTTAAAAAATTATGGTTTGGATGTGCCTCTCTCTCCAATGACACTGGTGCAAAAAGTTAGTTCGAGGGCAGATATAATTTCTGTTCCTCCTGGTGAATATGCACATTTCGGCCTGAAACAAAATTTAATGAAAGCAGCACAAATTTTACAAAAATATGAGGAAATAATTTGCGATATTAATATTGATGGTTTACCCATCTTTAAAAGCTCAAATCTTCAACTTTGGCCAATATTAATTAAAGTTATTAATATTAGAAATATAAAGGTGTTTCCTGTTGGTATTTATAAGGGCAAACAGAAACCTCATGATATAAGTCAGTTCCTAGAAAAACTCGTTGAAGAAATTTGCGATTTACA